CCCCCGTTGTCTGGGCGCCGCCTTTGGCGTAGCTTGTACTCAGTCTTCTCGTAAAAGGTCAGCGCCTTCAGCATGTTGCTCTTGAGCATCCTGAGTCGTAGAAGTCGTTGGCATTGTCGAGAAAACAACACATGAAAAGAAGTGCCTGCAGTAACAATGAACATAAATGAACGCTTCTTGTTGGGACAGCACAAGCGTCTTAAGTAACACTCATCAGGAACAACACACGCACAAGTCGTTGTTCACATCACCAAGACCAAGACTAAATAAGAATTGATTGAAATTGAGGCACATAATGAAGTGAGCGTTGGATGAAGATGGGTCTGCTTCGATCTCCTCGATGCAAACCTTCATGGCCCTGAGGATGCACTGAGTCGTATTCGATCGTATTCGTGTGGGATCGGTTCACCCCTCGTTTGTAGAGGAAATCATGGTCTTTCCAGGGGCCATGGCATCCACTTCCATGATTCTTGGAAGGAGGGTACAAGTAACACAATACAACTGAGTCACTGAGGCTACCATCAAATCATGCAACTGACGTGCAAGTTGGAAGTTCAGATCAGGCGGCCGGACGCTCTATCTCCTCGGGTAAGTATCTCCTCGGGTAAGAAAGCCAGGGAGCCGCAAGCTGTGGTGGGTTCCAGCCAATTCTGGGCCTGTTCCTCGTTTTTCCCATGAGTTGGCAGGGCCCACCCAGCTCCTTTGAGCCATACGATACCATACCCATGCAGAACCTTCTTGCCATGCGGATGTTGACGCCAGCGACAAAAACATGATTTCATTTGACATGGACTCTGAAAAGCTCGGAACAAACATATCCCAGTGCAATGGCTTTCAGATGCGTTTAGAGCTCGTCCCAAAAAAGCAATCTACATCCCAAAAAGCACACTTCGTTGGTCCCCATTGCAGGACCGAAAAGCCACCAGCAAGGCTACCTGCCACCATTCCTCACAGCGAGAACATCTTTACCCGCAAATACAGATCAATTTCAGGCAACTCCGCGTCGTCGGGGATCCTGACTGCACATACTTGACTCACCAGGGCCTACTACGCCGACACCTGCGTATACAACAGTTGGTAGTCTGATTGGGGTGCAATGGTCCCTCCACTCATCTTTCGCCCACCCGCCGCAGGCCCACAGCCTGTAATTCACATAGTAGGCCCTCCATCTCAGGAGCATGTTCTCCTGAAAGCAAACTGGACAGAAATAGCTTCACCCAACACTTGAGCCTGTTCTTGTTTACTGGGTGTCCACTATTCCCTTTTGCGCCGCCGAATGCTTCGGCCCCTGATCATCCGACCCGATGCTTCGGCCCCAGACGCCGGTCTTGGGTCAATCAAACAGTACCAATTCGTGCAGGTCGAAGTGCAGGGAAGAACAAAGACTGTAATTTAATTCTAATCAAATTCTACTCATATACGGTACTAGCTTCTTGTTACTACTAGTAAGGCACTTGTTACTAGTAGCGATGCACTTTTTTTCTTAGTAGCTTCTTGTTTCTTAGTTGTGCTTGCAAAAGTCGGGTGAAGTTCGTTGCACTCGAACTTGGGCCTTCACGGCCTTCACCTCTTTTGGCTTGGTGGAAGATGGGGAGGTTGCCCCGAGCGAGGCCAAACTTTTGGTCGTTCAGGTTCATTCAGGCCGGTAAAGCTGTGTCGAACGGGCTCACCGAAGGAACTGGGGAGTTGAACACGAAGACCCCCGCTGGCTGAGCTATGATGTAGACTTCCTCTTTGTACATGATGAACCCCAAACACTCCCCCTCAACTTCTTAATCTTTCTTGGAGTCAGAACCACTTGGCTGTGTCATTGCAAGTTCTTGGTCTATTGCAGGTCAGATTCCAAAGATTCACTGCGAGGACATCGAGGTCTTGCATCTTAACGAAATGAGGGGACACCCCTGCTCAATACTGAAACACTCCTCAAATTTTGAGTGAGTAATGATTTCAACAAGTCATGATCTGTGATTGATCTGTGATGGCTTCTGCAGTTTGATCGATTTGTCATCTTCCAACATTTGGCCTCAAAAGAGTCTCACTGTCACGGCAGTCAGTCATGCTTGTCCTCCTTGTCCACTCGGCTTTCACCCCACACAGATTGCAAATCACATTGAATAGCATCACAGGGCTTGGATGGGCTTGGTTCCAAGGTTCCAAGGTTCCAGTGCTGGTCAGGGCCAGAAGTAAGAAACCCCAACAGCATAGTCTTCCAGTCAGGGAAAGAGATAGAACCACACAGCTCGGTCCAAAGACCGAAAGAGTCCCCATGTAGCTGGTTACTCCAAGAGAGCTTCAGGGCAACTGGAAACCCATACGGGAACATATGGAGACCAACCGCTTGACCTACCAAAACCTGAAACAAATCTAGAAGTGTCGGTTGTTCACTACCATGGTGGATCGTGGGCCACCAGGTTTGGGCTCCTCCCAGTGGCATGCGCATCCCCCGCATCCCCTGGTGGACTGTCGACTGGGGCTCCAGGTTTGGCGGGTTTGGACTCCTCATCCCCGTAGGTCTTGCATGGCACCTCGGTTCACCCCGCTGCTCTCCTCGAGTAACTCGGTGAAGCGCATGGTGCGTTCTTCAGCTCGGCGGAGCCACGCGCGCGCGCCGCCAAGCCACGGACGAGACGACCGCAACGGCCGACCCTAACGGTGGGAGTTCAGATCTAACCCCAACGGCGGGAGGGAAATGGCTGGATGGAGCGCCCTGAGAGCGTTGATTTGGATTGTGTCATCTTTCTCTTCCAGGGCAAATCGTTTTGGGTGTTTTTGTGCAATCGTGGGTTGATGGAGCAGTTCTTCGGCTCAAACGGAGCCACGATCGGTGAAAAACTGATGCCGGCCGTAGCAGTTCCTGCAGTTGTATGATGAAACGCCAGGGTTCCAAAGTGCAGCTTTTGTGGGGATGCTGGCCTGGGTCAAAACCTTTTGGTTGTATAGGATATTAAAATATCATCCATGGTTGTTGATGGAATTTGATGTTGATGTCAGGCTTTTGTCATCGGCAAGCCAACTGAGTATATTCTTGCGGAAGTTTATAAAGGCTATCTTCATCTCTGTAAAGATTGTTGTGTGAGGTCTCTGTATTTCACAGCTGAAGACAAACACTAAATATGCCCACTGCTTGTGGATCGGGATCAGTCCTCTGCCTGCTTGCGTTCGGCTTGAGCCAAGCTGTGCCGAAGAACCACTCAACGCAAGCCATGCACTTGGACCCATCCGACTCCAGTACTAAGCCACTCGAAAATGGGATGAACGGTCGAACATGAAGTGCAAAAGAACGGTCGAACACATTTCCGACCCAGCGATCTGATCGATGCTGTTGCGAACCAACCGTCTCTGAGAAAACCAATCTGGAAGCCTTTACCATTTTATGTAACTCTATAGGTTTGAGACCTAGAGTTTGTCTGGTAGGCCAAATTTGCTGGGTCTCAACTCTAGGTCTCCAGGTGAAATCAGGTGAAATTGCAGGAATCCTGTCACTCTTGTCGTAATGTTCGTAGAGGCTCTCCCGCCCGACCTCCAGGACCCAAGGATGCTCCTTCACCTGCAGGTTCGGCGCCGTTTCGATGCAGTTTCGGGGCGCGTCGTTGGTTTTTGTACAAGTAAAACATGTGTTTTGTTCATATATGCATTCTGAATCTCTGAAGGGGGATGGGTCAATGGTCAAAACAGGATTGATCCTGGTTCACCACCGAAAATAAAGAACTGATTCCTGTTTGGGGGATGTCAACCTTCTCATGGTTTGGAGCGGGAGGTTTTGACTTGGCTTTGCCTCGACCCTACCCTAGGTTGACGATACCCCTATAAGCAGGACTTCTGTATGCAAAATAGGAGAACCTGAGCCAGCCCCTAATAGAATCCATCCGGAAATATATCAATTCAGGGGCAAAGACTTGGGTGGGGGTAGGTGGAGTGTTGGATCTCCCGTTTGTGCTCATCTTTTGCTCCGTGAGGTGTCTTGATGTCTTGGTGGAAGGAACATGGAGTGCAACAAAGGCTCATGCACTCTGACCTCATCATGAGAGTCATGGCTCCAGACATGTTGCATAGCTGGAAGATCTACTGTATTGATCTACGGCGACCCAGCCACTGAGAAGCCACTGCAAACCATGAGAGAAACGCCCGGACATGTTGTATGGTACCTTGAGTCATCCAGTCATCCAGTGAGCCCGAAGGCGCATGAACGATCCCCCATGCACCGGGTGAACCCCTCGCCTCGATGGCTCCCCGGGCACTGCCGATCCGGTCATTCTGGCAGATCGCGGATCGAAGCCGTGGGCCGAAGGAATTCACGGACCCCGAAGGAATTCGTGCCCGTGAGAGACACGGGTGTTTTTTTGGTTCTATCGACCCCCAAATAGAATAGAAGATAAGTAGATCCCCAGGCTGAACATGTAGACAGGAAACTTGTGCCACTAGTACTGTATCTTTTGGGGGATCACGACAAAGACTTTCAAGTCTCGAAGGTGGCTTCTGTGGTACTGGTGGTAGTCGCTAGATAGCCATGGCCATGGCCGCTCAAAGCGAAAAGAAAACTCAAAATGACCTGACTCCTGGTGGTGTGAATACGATCATTCTAATTGTAGGCAACAAAGATTGGAACTCAATGCGCCTTCGTGGAGGACGTCCTCAATCTGTTTGAACCCAGCTCAACCCAACAGGGGTGATCGTCGTGGAAACCTTTGTGGTGTGCCCTTCCTACTGGTGGGTGAATCATGGTGAATCTATATACAGTACAGTATATTGACTCACTAACATGGAAGTGGAAAAGATGCCACTGGGAAGACACATGTTCCTCCACCGGCAAGGGGATTCTCATCAGTCCAATTTAGCCTTCATGTTCCCAGGATCTATTCCCTCTCGGACGGACAGCGCAAACATCGAGAAAACGCGAACAACAACATCCTCCATGCTGCTACACCAACCAAAAAAACAACAGCCTCGCAGGAAAAAAGGAAAAACGACCTGCGAATGAGGACCACTTTTTGTGACCCACATCAGTCGCCAATCAGCCCGCGACTGGGCATCAACGCTTCGAAGCCCTGGAGGAGCGATTCGCAGTGGAGTGGTTTGGTTGGACGGAGTTGGACGGCCTTAAAGAGTTATTTGGTCTTAATCTTCATTGGAAAAACACCATGCAAGGACCCTTTCTTTCAAATTCATGATCATCAGTATACATATGGGGGTTGATCAAAATTAAGGTATCTGGGAACGCTACAACCGCCGATCAATCGCAGTTGCAATCGCGGCCACACAGTTGTCAATCGCGGATGTCTTTCCCCAGATAGCGAGAGCAATTGGGGTCCTTACTTCAAGTATAGGAAGAGGTGCGCGTGTGCAAATTGGAGCTTGGGTGCTGGTACCACTGCACGGTGCCGCTGCTGTAGCTTGGGTGCCGGTGCCGGTGCTGCTGCAGGGCGCTGCTGCCAAATGTGTGGCCGTGTGCGCTGAGGGCCCCGGCCCTAAAACTTGGTTGGCTGCATATTCTAAAGCAGGACCGAAAGCATGAGAGGTAACAGTCTGGGCTAGACTAGCCACCTTGTTCCATTGACCTTACGTCATATACTTGGTCACATTCAGTTCAGATCAGGCCTTGGCCCTTGCGCTTCTGGTTTGCCCTTCTCCAAAGAAAGTCCGAAGAAGTGGGAAAGCGAAATGGGTCACCAGCACCAAAGCCCCCAAGCGCACACAGGAGCGGCTTGAAGCGGCACCAGCACCCAGGCTCGAAAGCGCACACATGCAACTCTCCCTAGACTTGAAGTAAGAACCCCACTAGGACCCGCTGTCTGGGGAAAATGTCTGCAGAAATCAACATCATTCTTGAGTTCTTCTTGCTTATGCAAATTGCTTTGGGCATTCTATTGTTCTGAAGATCCTTTGGTTCTTTATACTTATATAAAACAGGATTGCATATTATACAATATATTATTGCATAATTAATATGGTTCTCAATCGCGAACCAAGCGCCGATCAATCGCGATGCAGCGTTTTTCAATCGCGGGGGCCCAGAAATATAGATCCTTTCATGATTCTTAGATTCGCATTTACGATCGGCCCTATGTGTATCAGTTAGGGATTCTGTTTCAAAGCTTTAAGGCAAACCGGGAAGTTCGGTGGCGAGTCCGAGGTGGGTTTGGGACTTGGTGAAGGTCTTCATCGATCAGTTTCCACTAAGGATACACTCTAAATCAGAATCAAAAATGCTACCCATGGACGGGCTGCGCGCTTCTTTCCGAGTCCACACCTGCGGCCGGCTGCTCTGGTGCTTCCAGTGCGACTCAGCCAGTGCCCAATCCACCACCTTGAGGTGTTCGGTTCCGGGAATCACAGATCAGCAAAGGCCGAAGAGGTCCCGTCTCCCAGCTATGCGTTCGATGGAAAACCATCTTCCATGCTTAGTACTGTTTCCTTCAGTCATAGTGGCAGTGGTAGCAGTGGTGGTAGCGGTAGTAGTAGCAGGTTTCTAGTGAGTGGAGTGGAGTGGAATGGAGTGGAGTGGAGTGGAGTGAGGTGAGGTGAGGTGAGGTGAGGTGAGCGCACGCGTGAGTGCACGCATGAGTGCGCGAGTGAGTGAGTGAGTTTTTAGTTATAGGTCGCTAGTAATCCGCCGACACCGCCGGTTGAAGGGGGCGCGCGCCAGAGGAGGCAACCGAGGGCATGCTTCCGTGACAGCAGGCGGCTTGAAGCGTGGCTGAAGGGTCGAAAGCGGAAGAAAGGGCGTGCTCGACGCTGCTTCACAGACTTATTTTACGGGTTCCGAAAGCAACGTTAGACATTCTGGGGGCGTACGCGGAGGACCTCTTTCGGGCGATTTTTGGTCTCGAATTAGATTGTGGAAAGCTGTGGCGAAGGAAATCACTCGGAACAGGTGTCTACCAGCCAGAGGACCCGTGGGAGGTGGGAGAACGGCTTCTTGTGCACCAGCCAGAGGACCCGTGGCCAGAGGACCCGTGGGAGGTGAGAGAACGGCTTCTTGTGTACCAGCCAGAGGACCTGTGGGAGGTGAGAGAATGGCTTTTTCGATGCTTCCGAGGCGTTTCCGTGACAGCCGGCGGCTTGAAGCGTGGCTGAAGGGTCGAAAGCGGAAGACAGGGCGCGCTCGACGCTGCTGCACAGACTTATTTTACGGGTTCCGAAAGCAACGTTAGACATTCTGGGGGCATACGCGGAGGACCTCTTTCGGGCGATTTTTGGTCTCGAATTAGATTGTGGAAAGCTGTGGCGAAGGACAGGTGTCTACCAGCCAGAGGACCCGTGGCCAGAGGACCCGTGGGAGGTGAGAGAACGGGTTTTCCGATGCTTCCGAGGCGTTTCCGTGACAGCCGGCGGCTTGAAGCGTTGCTGAAGGTTCGAGAGTGGAAGACAGGGCGTGCTCGACGCTGCTTCACAGACTTGTTTTACGGGTTCCGAAAGCAACGTTAGACATTCTGAGAGCGTACGCGGAGGACCTCTTTCGGGCGATTTTTGGTCTCGAATTAGATTGTGGAAAGCTGTGGCGAAGGAAATCACTCAGAACAGGTGTCTACCAGCCAGAGGACCCGTGGGAGGTGAGAGAACGGCTTCTTGT